GAAACATCACCCACAGCAAGCCCATGTGACAAACTTACACATATGAAACCAGCACAGCAGGATCTGTTTGAGCTCTGGGTTTCTTGTGTAGTTTTAGGCAGGATATGGATTAAAAGTCAATCTTGAATCTATCCTATGACAATACTGAATGTGTCAAATATTGACACACAGACCGGTAATGAGATGTCTAATAACTTGAGACTGACAGCAACTCAAAAACCTTTTCCAGCTGAACATCCCACTCTAACATCCCACACACTGTGCAGCTGCACAGCTCCTTAAGGACATGTGGCTTTTGACCTGCAGGAGCTCTGAAGAAGACCCTCACTGAGCCACACTAGCTCAAAAAGTAAACATAGCTCAAAGCTTCCACCCAGCAGGAACACATCAGTTTAACTGTTACCAGAATAGCACCAGGCGTCGTTTCTTTTTCGAAAAAACTAGAAAATTGCAGAATACAAGTACAGGCCTATATGCAAAACTGCACAAATTAGGTGACATCAAACAGAACAGTTCAAAATAATTTTGAACACTGAAAAGATGAAATAGGCTAATGATGTTCATCAGCTGCACCGCTTCTGTAATGAGTTTGTCTGAAAGGGCTAATACACGGCAGTTGCTATGTGCAATTGACAAAAGTAAGATACACATCTTTGCAATTCACATAATTGAAAGCATTCTGCACATAAATGGGGTTTTTAAAAGTGAGGGGATTTGCTGTTAACATTGTGCTGTGGTGACAGTCATGTTATTTTAGCAGTTTATGTCACAAACACGGCTGGCCCCCACACACAGCGGTATTTTCCACTGGGCTGCACCCACACAGCTTCACCCCCGGCCCATGTACAGCACAACTTCCACACTGCTACTAATTATAAACCACGTCTTATTGTCATCCCCTGCATCTTGAAAAGGCACACAGACACACAAAACATGCAAATAAACCACCTTAATAATTCAAAGCTACGCGAGCAGGGCTGAGAAGCCATTTTTGACAAGAGAAGAAGACGGTCCCAGGCATCCCGGCAGCTGTGTGTCCTCCCCGGCAGCAGCTCCCGGGGCCTGAGCGCTGACAGCCCCGGCCGGGGGCGGACACGGGCCCCGGGCGGACACCGCGGCCGAGGGGCTCCGGGGTCGCACACAGCGAGGAGCAGCGAGCAGACGGGCGGACTGAGCCTCTCGCCCCGCCGGGCCCTCCCAGCCCCCGCCCCGCGCTCTCGGACCCCGCGCCGGGCCGGAGCCTCCCCGCGGCCCCGCCGCGCCTCACCCGTGAGGCCGCCCCCTTTGCCGTGTCCCCGCCGGCGCTGGAGCAGGAAGAAGGGGTTGGCGCGCTCGGTGACCCACAGCGCGCCGGCCAGCAGCACCTCCTCGGGGCCCAGCCACATCGCGGCGGGGCTGCGGAGCGGAGCTGCACGCCGCGCCCGCCGCCACCGCGCCCTCTGGCGGCCCGGCCCCCTCACTGCCTCCGCTGCGCCGAGATCGCGGGTTCGAGCCCCGGGTCCGGACGGGTCCGGAGCCGCCTCCGGGCCTGCCCGCGGTGCGCAGTCGGGGGTCACCGCCGCGCTCTGCAAAGCCCCTCTGCCTCCCGCTGGCACACTGTGGCACTGAAAACACCTGAATTGAATGTCTTGAACTCGGGAAGGGGGAGGGGGATTTTAGAATATCCTGGGGGGGATATTAGAAAAATATCCACCCCAGGGGGTGGTCGGGCACTGGAACAGCAGAGACTGTCCAGCGCTCCTGCCCAGTCTGGCCATGCTTCCATCCCATCAGATTAAGATGGGAATTAATTTTCCCTTTTTGCTGTCAAGAACTTGCACTTCCAGCGTCCCAGCCTCGTAAATTCAGTGCGGGGGTCCTGGCATCCCCCTCCTGGCAGCTGGTCCATTTCGGTCCTCGCTTTGCAGCTCTGGAGCTCACTCAAAGCTTGTGGCCCAGCCCAAGGATGATCTCTGCAGCACACAGGACAGGGGGAGACACAGCTCCTTCTCATCCCTTGGCTGTGGAACAGCTTCCCAATAATTTAGTGAACCGCTATTCTTGTTCAATAACCATTAGAGAGCCTCCCGGCAAACCCTGAAAGTGTTACAACAGCAGAGAACACCGACATCTGCCATGCCTGTGCTTATTGCCCAGCTCCCAGGAAGGCAGGAATGCCATGGTTTTTTTAGGCTTTAAATCCTTTAACCCTGGATGATCTGTCTTTGTTAGTGCAGTGCCCTAATCCCAGCTGGAGCCCTTGTACACTACTCTAATATAAATATTTATTAGCTGGCTCAGCCTGCAGGGCTGTGCTTTCGCCTCCATGGCATGGCTGTTTCTGGGGAGCAGCAGAGTGGTTTCTGAAGGCTGGGTGTCCTGTAGGAAGGGCTTGAGCACTGGGAGAAGATGCTGAAGGATCCTTCCCTGTTTAACTATTGCTGTTCTTGCTCACTCTGTGCCATCTTTAAGGTTGCAAAAGCAGTGAGAAGGTGGATTTGTGTTTCCAGTATATTCATAAGCCACTTTGAACCATATGGCCCTTAATGGCCTGGGATTTCTAGACACTAGTACAGCAAAATAAAAAAAAAAAAGTTTACATCAGAGTGGAAAAAATCCTCTCTGCAAATGGTGTTCCACACTACCCTCTAGAACAGATCTATAACAAATGCTGGAGGGACTGGAGTCACCAGGCGATGCTTTCATGCTCCCATATTTTCAGACATCAAACTCACAAACTCCGTGTTTTTAAACTGCTTTTTATTGAAATGTAGTACATTAGCAAACCCTAACTAGTCGGTATACACTATGAACATACTGGCATATACCACGTAACTACAATACAGTGTTATACTTACATCAAAACATGTCAACAAGTTCTGCTGCTGGCAAGCTACACTTCCACAGGGGCTGGAGAGCTCTGGCTGTCGGGAGGGCACTGTGTGTCCCTGTGTCCCCACAGTGTCCCCAGACCCCTGGCAGCTGCTGGCGTGTTCAGGTTACCTGGTCACACCGGTGTGACCCACCTGGCAGCAAGCCAGTTCCAACAGACTCTTCATTTTACACACGCAAATTGGGGGGTTTTGTTGTTGTTTGCTGCAGTCTCCTGTGCCCAAAGGCCGAGGGGTTCCCTCTCTGCTGAGATAAAATGATCCTGTTTTGGTGGAGTCAGTGCATAGTTAGCCATGGCCTCGAGCAGGTGATCCTGGACAGGCATGGTCATCCAGAGAAGCTTTTAGGATTTAACATCTACTTGCAAACTGCAGCAGGGCTGATGGGACAAGACCGATACCGATGCTACCACTCCTTTTGCTCCAAAAGGTTATTCCCCTTGATAGCAGCAGTGTGACAGACCTTACCAGTGCTGGGAGCTAAGCCTAGGCATACAGGGTGGAGAAGTCTGCCTGCTGATGTGGAGGCACAGGGAAAGTCTCTCTTTCATGTAGCACCTTCCAGCACAAGCAGAAAGCAACAGGCTGGGGCGCTGCCTTGCGGGGACCTCATGAACCCGCACCAGGAGCTTTGCTTTGACAGCCCCAAACACTCTATTAAACATTCCTGGCTTAACAGCAGCAAAGAACAAGTTTACTTTCACACCCAGACTTTCCTGTGGTGGAGCATAGGAAGGTTGCTGAGCTGTTTTCTGTATGATCCTCCCTCCCAGTGCAGCCCAGTCTTACTGCCCGAGACAGTGTGAGGGTGTTACAGACACAGGCACGGGGGATCCACAGCAAATCTGACGATCTATGCCTTAACATAGCCCAGCAGAGCTGCTCTGCTGGGAATTAATGGCTCTTGTCCCCCCCGAGGGGTTTGGGCAGCTGAAGATCAAGTCAGAGCCAAGGAAAGGTGAGCCCTGGAGTATGTGAGAAGCAGAAAAAAAAAAAAAAAAAAAAAAAGCCAAATGGCATATAAATGCACACAGCTGAGCTCAGAGAAAAGAAAGAATAAAAGCTCCTGGCTCCTGAGGGGCTTCTAGATACAAGTGGAGAAAGGAACAGCCCAGCAGGAGCGAGGGAGTCTTCACACACATGTCCATCTGATTTCTGGGGAGCAAACACCCAGTCCCAGCTGTATGACACTAGCTAATGTTACACCTCAGTCTTGCATTGAAATCACTCTAAGCAGCTTCAATTTTCAATAAAACACTATGTAGTTCTTTGTAGGAATATTAATACTTAACTATTAACTCCTTAGGAAAGGGACTATTTTTGGGCAACAATTTATGCCACAGGGCCCCCAGGCCCAGAGACCCTGGACATTATTGCAGTAAGAAAGAAAAAATATTCAGATGTTATTGCACAACCTACACATCCATTTCTGTTCATGTGAACATCTCCATGAGGCTGATGGGCAGAAGAGCAAAAGGATGCTCCATGTAGTGATCCAGGGAATGAGCATCCCACAACAACAGCCCAGATCCCACACACCCTGCTTTGGCTGAGCACAGCCCACCAGGAACCTCTGTGCTCCCACAGACTGTGACTGGTCTGGAGTGACGCATCCCCTTGGAGGGGCTGGCTGGCATGGTGATGGCACAGTGAGGTGATGGCACAGTGATGAAGAAGATGCTGGAGAACAGGTGGACAGCAGTGCCTGCACAACAGGGACCTTCACCCAGCTCTCCAGAGGAGGAGGAAGCCAGTAGGAACTGATGGAGTGGAAAGGTAGAGATTAGAATTAAAAGTGTCTGGGAATGTTGCAGGCTTTTAAAAAGACTAGGTTAATGAAAGATAGATAACAAGGTGTCAATTAGTGGTGCTTTGCAAAGGCTCTGCGACCAGATTTAATCCCCCAAAAAAGCACTTTGCAAGCACCAAGTAAACCTGACACGCCCTTGTGAATTTGGGGTTTTTGGTCAACATCTCAGGACATCACTGGCTGGAGGTTACAGAGCATTATGGCTCTGCATCAGGAGCAAAATCCCATCTGGAGTCTTCCTCTTATCACTGCATCCCACAAGCAGGGGCAGGGAGCACAGCTTTTTGAATTTGGGGTTTTTGGTCAACATCTCAGGACATCACTGGCTGGAGGTTACAGAGCATTATGGCTCTGCATCAGGAGCAAAATCCCATCTGGAGTCCTGCTCTTATCACTGCATCCCACAAGGAAGGGGCAGGGAGCACAGCTTTTTCCTCTTAAATATTTCAAAGACAAGGGGAAAAAAGCAGAAATGAGCACCAGCATATTGAAGTGCGGTCTACCTTTCCCCTGATTTCCCCCCAGTCTGTTTAGTTGGAACATCTTTCCCTCTCTCACTCCCTCCCCTGCTCACCAGTTTCCACCAAGTGTGCCAGAGCTGAGGCTGCCCTGCAGTGCAAGTCTAGCAGGGAAAGGAAAAAGTGAAGATATCTTTAAATATAACAACACATATGCAAGCTGTCATGGCACATCACACACTCTTCTGCACCGCTCAGGCTGGAAAATTAGGTCAAGTATGGCTGGGTAACACAGGGTGAAAAATGAGCAAAAGCTTTACTTGGGAATTTGAAGGTGTTTCCTGAGGTCTCTGCCCTGAGCTCTCCTGTCCTTCTCTCCCCACCCTGCAGGGCTGGCAGCAGCCCCGTGGCTCTTGCCTTTGCCCCACTGCGCCTCAGCTTCTGAGCTGCTCTGCTATTTCCTGTGCTGTAAAAAACAAGTTACTATTAGCTAAGCAAAATAACAAATATTTTTAATAATTAAGTCAACTCACTTGCCAGTAATCAGGCTGCAGAGCTGCCTGAACTTCAGCTCAACCCTGGTGCCTTCATCCTTCAGCTCATGAACTGACTGTGGCACTACCTCAAACCTAAATTGGACTGAACAAGTCCTGGAGCCCCAGCGTGACCCATGTGACCCATGTTTCCTGCAGAATTCCCTCTGCTTTCCAGGAGCTGGTAAAAAGTTTGGCTCTCCCAAGCCTTTGCAGTATTTTACATGAATGTGTTTAAAGAAAATAGATGTGTAAAAGTCTCATAACATAGTCCTAGACATGTTTATTGAACTGGTTTTGGTTTTTCTTTGGCTAATGCAGGACACCTGGCTATTCCAACAGCATCCTCAGGTGCCAGGGCAAGCATCCTAGAGCAAAGGGACAATGCAGATTCCAACACATGAGCTCACTGGAGAGAGCAATTGTGAGGGTCGTTAGGTAAATTTTAACATGCTTCAAATTTAATAATTAATGTTGTGTATTATAGGTAAAAAGCACACTTACAGTCTGGTTTCTTACTGGCAATTATCCTCTAAGAACACAAGCAAACCTTGATTTTACAAATGTCTTATGGGAACATGCAAAACTTTCCTAGAAAAGGAAGCTGAGAAAGAGAAGGCAAAGTGTTGGGGTTTAAATACTGTAGGAAAACACTTGGAGATAAAAGCTTTTTTCTTATACGTAGAAATCATAAACTGAATGTTTTCCTGTTAAAAAAAGCAATTTTTTTTAACCTTGAGAATGATTTTCCAAGTTACTGGCACTTACAGTGCTTGGTAGGTTGCCGTATATTTTACTTCTGTGAAATGACTCAACCACACACAGCACCACTGCAGCAGAACAAGAACAACAATGCTCATCAAGCTTTTTTTATATACTGATTAATATTAAAAGGAAAACCTCAAACTTACCAGCACAGCCCAGAAAAAAATCACCCATGTTGCTGTGGTGCCTCTTCCCCATACTAAATATGACTAACTGGGGAAGGCCTGCTCTAGCACGTCCTGGCACTCACGTAGGGACTGATTGCTTGAACAAGCTTTTAATTTTTCCAGTGTTGCAAGATGTCCCAAATCCAGGATGTCTACTACAAATACCTGCTCCCCTATCCAAGATCCTTCAGCACAAATCCATTTTTACATTGCTGTGCCAGATCCTGATCTCCACTGAGACAAACCTGCCCTCCTGTTGCTTAAAGCCAAGATATTCAGTTAGAAATAAGATTTAGCAGAACACAAATGACACTGTTATTATTTTGTGTTTGGGGGGATTTGTGCTTTCTAATTTTTAATTTCCATGCCTCTTCTAGCTTTTCTGTATATTCTGGCACACAGCTCCTGCAAATGGTCTCAGTTGGAGCTGAGAAATCATCAGGTTTGGTTTTGTGCTGAAACTGTCCCAGTGACATTCCCGGTGGCCTTAGGGGAAATCCCTCTGTTGGAATGGGGCAGCCCCTATGAGAAGGATTTGGTTGGGGCGTCAGCACCCCACACGGTGCTACAAGAGCCTGTCCTACCCAAAACCCCACCAGAGCAGCTCTGTGCTGGCTGGAAGACAACAAGACACGTTGGCATTGGGCCAGGTAACCCAGGTATCTGGGTTTATCATAACCTGACTGCCCCCATGGATAAAAACAAACCCCATAACATCCTTGAGAGACGGCGATTTTCCTCTCGGGCATTTGCGTTCCCAAGGCGCCGCTCCCACGTGTCCCTGCTGATCTCACAGATGTAATTACAAAAACAGGGGCTGCTCAACCAGCCCTTCTGCCGCCCCTGAGCCCCGAACGGGTGCAGCTCAGCCAGGCTGGGATGGGGGGCTGTGCCTGGGCCTGGGTGCAGCTCAGCCAGGCTGGGATGGGGAGCTGTGCCTGGGCCTGGGTGCAGCTCAGCCAGGCTGGGATGGGGAGCTGTGCCTGGGCTTGGGTGCAGCTCAGCCAGGCTGGGATGGGGAGCTGTGCCTGGGCTTGCCGGCGGAGCCGTCGCTGCCTGCCCCGCACCAGAGGAGGGATGCTGACCACGAGCCGCTGCTGCCCCAGCCCCTGTGGCACTTCCTGTGACCTTCACTTCTGCTTTGTAGGAGAAAGTGGGTGTCAAAATTGTGCTCTTAAAAAAGTCTGGGGCTTCAGCGCATTTCCAGAGAGAGCTGAATGGCAATAAAAGTGCATTTGGTAAATATCAATGTGGGTATTATGAGAAAAACCTCCCTACACTTCATGCCACCCACTCTTGAATTATCAGATTAAATAAAGCTGATGCACAGCAACAAAAGTCAAAGCATGCTCGGCAAAGAGGCTCATTTCCTCATTTTACAGAGCTGGGTTTTTCTTTTTCTCTTGAACGTCCATGTTAAATACACAGCTGAACCACACTTCAGAAAAGGATATATGTTAAGCAGACTGCTATATAATTAAAAACATTATAAAGGAGGGGAAATTCCCCTGCTTGCAAAAGCAGGTGAAATTAAAGCATGGCAGGATAAGTCTTACCTTTCTTTTTGGCTTAACTGATTTCTCAAGATTCCTATACAGAGGGTGAAACTGTGTTTCACATTACAAGGACACAAATGAGTTTCTACACCTACAGTAACTCAGACTGCAATGGAGAAAAATCCAAACATTCATTAACATCTATGCATTGTCCGGTAGGAAACGGTGGAGCAGAAGCGCTCGCTCCTCCATGTCGGCTCATCTGAGGAACGCTGTGCATGACTTAGCTCCAGAGGTTCCTCTCTCGCTCTCCATTTCTGCATTGTTCTCTCAGAAGCTTGCAAACAATATCCATTTCCCCACCGCTTTTGTCACATGCTGGTAAAAATTGATTTTTCCTGCAGCGTGTCAAAGCAGTAGCTGCTTTCCTTTCTTCTCCTGCTTTCTGCATTCCCGTTATTGATGTCAGTGGGAAAGGGCACAGCTCAGAGAACGTATTTGTTAAATAACTGTTGCAGATCTCAACAGGAGAGTGGGATAAGAAGCTTACCTCTTTTCTTCTCTGTGTAATGCCAACATGCTGGCTTTTAAAAAACCTCAGTGAAAAATTTGGTGGATTTTTTACCCCCCACCCCCCAAAAAAAAAAAGTTACGTGAGAAAGAAAGCTTATTTGATTCCTGCATATTTCAAAAAGTCTAATGGTTTTTAGGTAGATCAAGTGCTGGTTCTGTGAATGTCCTCTCTACACAAAGAGACTCACTTGACTTCAGCACACAGAAGGACCAAAAGTATATTCTGTGTATACCATTTTTCTCCTGCTTCAACCAAATTGGAGAAAAAAAAATCCAAGCATCAAGTTCCTTGAAATCTTTCTGCAAATGCAGGTCCTCTCTGCAGCTTGAACATCAGACTGGCTTGCCACTGTCCGGGGTTAAGTGGGTTGTAGGAAACTCAATGCACTTATAAAGGTCCCTCTCAGAAGGGGATATTTCACAGTAAGGTTATGGATTGACCAAGATATACGAGTGCTTTTACCAGTCACTGGCCATCTCCTCTACAACCAGTTCCCTTTCTGACATTGCCCAACCATCTGGACAACTAAAAAATTGGAAACAGCAGATGCCTGTGTAAGAGACACATTTGCAGTTCAGCACAAACTCTTAGGGCCACCGTAAAACCTCTCCTGCATCGCCGCGGCTGGGCCGACACAGCTCCCCATGCTGTTACTCAGCAATTTCCATCAGACAACCTTGCTTGTCACAGCTCTTTGTCACCTCAAAGATGCCACCCTCAGAATCCACCACAGCTGGTCTTCGTCTGTGCAAACGAGAAGGCGGGTTCGTGTTCTGGAAAAAGCAGCTCTTCTTCAGACAAAGGAGATCCATGGAAAGAGTACACAACAATAGGAATGAGAAATGAAAAAAACGGAAAAAGGGCCAGGAAGGAGCATGGATTCCTTTCAGGTTTTGTTCTCGTCGTACATGTCCAAGGCAGGCTCGATGGTTGAGAACTCGCTCTCGTAGACCAGGCTTCGAGGGGACAGAGAGTTACGATGGAAGAAGTGACTGCCTGCAAGAGGTAGAACAAAACCACATTAGCAACACACATGAACAATGGAGGAACTGAGTAAAGTATCCTCATACCTGTGTGATGGATGCAAACACAGTACACATGGAAAAAACAGCCAACCTTCAACACAAAGCAGTAACAACCGTATGAAACATTTCACCTCTGTTCCTCTGCTCCCCAGCCAATTTAAAGCAACTGCTTTCCATATGCATGAACAGTCACACCTCAAATGGCTCTTTCAGATAAAAGAGGTAAAGTCTGAGCAAGGCTGGGGCAGGCTGGAGTTCTGCACTTGGTGCTGGCTGTTGATTTACAGCCTTGTAAAGCAGGGATGTGCTTCCTCAGAAGACCCTGAAATCTCTGGTCAGCACCAAAGTGCTGTGCCCTGCACCAGCACAAAGTGCTTCAGCTCAGGGTCAAAAGGAAGGAGGAGGCAGAGTGAGGGGCTCCCCAGGGGTGATCCCGTCGTTGCTGCTGGAAGCCTGACCTCCTCCAGAGCTCAGCAAACTCCATGGACATGAGTCACCTTCTAGAAACAGCCACCTATGGATTTCCTTGCACATAACCAACCCTCTTTTCACTGGCAGTAACCGAAACAAGCACCACGTGGCTGTTGATAAGTGGGGAGTGGAAGTCTTCTTTTTTTCCTTGGTGGCCTGGCATTCCCGTGGCTCTCTGAATCCGCAGATGTGTTTTTGCAAAGAGCCCAGCCCTCCTGCTGTACAAATGATTCTCTCTGAAAGCATCTATCATCAGATCAGGCCCTTGGCCAAAACACTTCATTACCTGGTTTCTCGATCCCAGGGGGGATTAGCTGGGAGCAAGGCTGCTTAGATTACAACAGCTACATGAGCCAAACTGGAGGCAACTGAAAAGCTTCCAAGTACATCAAAAAGGCATTCAGCAAACTAAGGTGCCTCCAGTTTCAGGCATCAGTGAAGCAAGATGCTTAGGGAATTGTAGTTTTAGCCCTGGTAGATTTTAGCTGCTTAAATCCCCCTTTCTTTGCCAAATTTTGAGCCCAGCCTACCCCATTCTGAAATAAAGACCTTACAGAAGACATAAGAAAATAAGAATTCAGTTGCTACTGTCCAAAACGCCTTTTCTCCTTTCCCATTCACCCAAAAGACACAGACTTTGTGTGCCCTTTGCTAACAAGTGCCCAGCAGGAAAAAGGAGTTGAGCAATGGATCTGCTCCTCTTTCACAAGCAAAAGTCAGTGCACACACTCATTCCACCATTTGCAGTGAGAATGGGAAGTTGTCATAAGCAAATTAATTTTGGATCTTGTAGTTAACTGAAACAAGAGTGAAATTAGTGATTACATTGCAGTGGATTGTTGACTCTGCAAGGAGCATGTATCCAGGTCCTTGGACCAAGGGGGCTGTCTTGGAATATACTTCCAGAAGCAGTTGGTGGGGAATGATAAACACCCATTTTCTGGATCTGAACCATCCCCCAAATTTACAGGTTTTTAAAACTGGGCAATGATTAAAATAAAAGCAAATAAATAAATAAATAAATAAAGGTTGAGTGTTTAAGGAAACATAAAGTTGGAACTGTGACTTCCAGAGATTATCATGGTCTATCTCCAACAGCTGGACTTGATGACCTTAGAGATCTTTTCCAACCTTAATGATTCTATGATTCAAGCAAATAAACCCCAGACCCTGAACCTGCTTTGAAATTATACCAGATAAAACTGATTTCAAGACTGTGTTATGGGTTAGGACCATTTACTTTTTGATGATTAAGTCTCATTTTGCAGCTGAAATAATCTGTGAATATTGAATATTTCATCCCCCGTTTCTCCACCTGCTGCAATGTTACACACAACCAATGCTCAAACAAACCAAAGGGATTCTAAAAGCTTGGTGCTGCTTTGGTTTTTGTTACACAGAAATCAAATGTGGAATTAGGAAGCAGACAGCCCAGGCTGTCATTTCCTGTGTGCACCCAGACTTCCACTCTAGCAGGTTGGAGGGAGAGATTTAATCAACAGGCAGAGCAGGTCATCTGACAACAAGTATTTTATATTAATCTGGAAATAGACAGTGTATATAAAACACCTCTAAAATTCTTTACTCTGACGTTTTTGTCCTTCTTGGCAAAGGAAATTTAAACCACCCACTTCCAGGAAGGCTTCATGTTCCCATAGAGATAGACATCTCTTGGCTTCCATACCATTTTTGAGACACATCATTCATTCTTTTCTTAATTGTCTCCTCTCCCATCCAGTGCAGCCAGCCCAGAGCTGAGACTCCAGCTGCTGCTCAGAGTTTTCCACCACTCAATCTTCAGGTGCTCCATTAACCAGGTCAGGAGCATTGCCCACAGCTTCCGGCTGGAGCAGCAGGGCACAGTGACCCAGCCATGCTCCTCTTAATGCAGAAAATTGCTACTGTTTTTTAAAAATGTGGCGTTGGTCCAGCTGATAAATTTACTGAATAAATGTATTTTAAGGACAAGTAAAAACATCCGCAGTTCCAAATTCAGCTTATGAATCTGTTCTTCCTATTTTGCACTTACCAAGAAAGATCAAGATTTATCCCTTAGGAGCAGAAAACAAATGGGAAGGTTGCATGCAGTTTTAGACATGAAGATGAATCCTTCAGTGCTCTATGGCACTATTCTTCATTACATGCTTTAAAAGAACTTCTCAGATAACTTGCATTGAGTGTGAAAATAAACATACTACCCTGGAATTGATCTTTATACTTACCATAGGATGCCACCAAAGTGAGGACAAGACCAAGGCCAAAAACTCAAGAGACACAGCACTGCAGGTGCACCAGGGTTAAGCATCACCTGGTGTTCCCTTTCCATCTGAAAGTATCTTAATGCCCTTAGTCATTAATCAGGGCCATCTTCTGCCACAAGCTGCAGCCCCTTCCACGGCTCCTCCAGCAAAGACTCTTTACTGTAGAAATCTGATCAGAGCACTCCCTACCTTAATCTGTTTTAGACACCCTCTCAGTTAAGGAACAGAACGGAACTATTTCATAAAGCACCCTTTCCTCAAAGCCAGCTTAGCAGGAAGACTTTAAAGCAACTGCTTTCCATATGCATGAACAGTCACACCTCAAATGGCTCTTTCAGATAAAAGAGGTAAAGTCTGAGCAAGGCTGGGGCAGGCTGGAGTTCTGCACTTGGTGCTGGCTGTTGATTTACAGCCTTGTAAAGCAGGGATGCGCTTCCTCAGAAGACCCAGAAAGACGTGGTGGGATGACTGGCATAACTGGAGTGCTGCAACAGATGGCTAAAAATTCTTCCAAAGGGAAAAGCAAGGAAGGAGACTCCTTGGGGTAGCCCTGTGTTGCTCACAGAGCCACTTCCCACGACTGACCAGCAGTCCCAGCTACCTGGGGAGGTCCCAGCTGCCTGGAGGTCAGCAGATGTGACACCCAGCTACAAGAAGGGCTGGAAGGGGGGTCTGGGAAACTGCAGGCCTGTCAGCCTGACCTTGGTGCCAGGGAAGGCCATGGAACAGATCATTTTAGTGCCATCACATGGCACATCCAGGACAAGCAGGGGGTCAGACCCAGCCAGTGTGGGTTTAGGAAAAACAGGTCCTCTTGACCAACCTTGTCTTCTGTGACAAGGTGACTCACTCGGTGGATGAAGGAAAGGCTGTGGATGTGTCTACCTGTGCTTTGGTAGAGTCTGACACCGTGTCCCAAAGCATTCTCTTGGAAACTGGCTGCCATGGCTTGGACAGGTGCACAATAGATGGGTTAAGAACAGGCTGGATGGCTCGGCCCAGAGAGCAATGGGGAATGGAGTTACACCCACAGGGCTCAGAACTGGGGCCAGCCCAGTTTAATGTCTTTATCAATGATCTGCATGAGGGGATTGAACACACCTTCAGTCAGTTTGCAGCCAACACCAAGTTAGGCTGATCTTCTGGAGGGCAGGAAGGCTCCACAGACAGATCTGGATAGGCTGGATCAAGGTATTTAAAAGATACAGTTGTGGCACTTGGGGACATGGTTTAGTGGTGGGCTTGGCAGCGCTGGGTTAATGACTGGACTTGATCTTAGAGGGCTTTTCCAACCTAAGTGGTTCTATGATTCTGTGAAAAACTTTGGGGATTTCCTTCTGTCTATCCAGAGTAAAAAAAAAACAAAACAAAAAAAAAGGTTCTGGGATGATGTAGAGTCCATCCTTGAACATATTTATTTCATTAACAGATAAACATGCACTGATTGCCTGACCTCTAAGCAACCTATCAAAAGCTGTATCATTATTAACACTTTGTTGAGACAACTGTTAGAGGCTCAAAAGAAAAACTGGAAAAGATGATGCTGAGTTATTTAAATCTTCCATGGAGGGAAATGCACTAAAAAGTCCTGTCAACCCTTTTGTTCCAAATATCACTCAACTTCTCCTTCTGCTTCTGTTCTGAAGAAGAAACATGAACTGGAACTATTATGGTGCCTTTTGCATCTGGGTCACTGCACTGCTCACGTGGTCCCTGCCCAACAGCATTAAATAGCACTTATGGAATTTTGCTTCAGGAGACAAGCACAAACTTATCAGTTTTACTACTGCTGTTGAGAGATGAGTGAAGAAAACATGTATCATAGCTTGTTCCCTAAATCATGCTCTAACCACATTCCTCCACTTTTGGCAACAACACTCAGTTGACACATTGCTGTACGTTACAAGCACACAGCCCTCAAACACAGAATGTTTGAGGTTTTTTTTCTTCTCATAAGTAAGTCTAATGGGGTTTTCCAGTCTTTCAAAATGCACTTACTGCTCTATTGATTTGTTTCCATATTTCTTTCAGAATTTCACAAGGACGCACTGAAGAAGAATTCTATTAAATGCACTGAAGCTATCACATTCTTCACTGCTTATTATAAAAGCTGCCTTCTCAGCTGAAGCCTGATGGACAAATAAGAATTAAGAAACTATTTTAATGTAGCATCTGGCTATGTTCCTAAATTCTAAAAGTGCCTATACATAAAAATAAAATTAAATTAAATCCTCTAGTTCCCAGTACATAAAAAAATTAAATCTTACAGCAAAATTGCTTCTCTCTGTTCATTTAATTAAATTAGAAAGCATTCACTTTCTACATCTTGATCCCAGAACAACAAAAACAACTGAATGCAGAACAGTTTTTAACTTCTGTCAATTACTTTTTCCTTCCCTACTTGTTACCCTCATTTACCCATCTCGTTAAGTCAAGCATTAGCATTTGGCTGCGACTCAGGCCCGTGTGTTTTAACTGACTGTTGTGAAATTACTCACACAGAGCTTGCATAACTTGCATGAAACAGCCAGAGTGAGGACAGTGAGGAGAGATGTTTTCCCTCTGTCTCCTCATCAGCACAGAAGCCATGGCAAGAAAGGACATGCTTGCACAGAGTTTCTGCATTAAAGAGCTTTATCAATCTTCCTTGATCTGAATTTGAACCAAAACTAACCCCTGCCACTGATACGAAAGGAGGCTTCACACATGACAGTGGGGGAAATGCTGCATTTTCACTTGTTATTTGGAAGGAAGAAGTGGTTTAGAGAAGCTTCACTTTTATCAAAAGGCGGGCAGGGTGAAAGTAAAAGACAGAAAAGGTTTATGATTTGTGTTTTGAGACCACAGCATTGCAAATCTCCAGCAATGCCTGGCCTCAAGGCAAAAATCATACTGCAGTGCTCCCAGGGTGACCAGGAGTGTTACAGGAGGAGAAACTGAGGAAATGTTCTTATTTCAAATTAATTCTCAGCTGGAGTCAAGGTAAGTCCATTATAGCAAAACTGACAGCTTGACCCAGCTTTTTCCCTAACAAGTTGATGTCAAATGATTGCTAACAACACTTTTTAGTCACTTCAGCCACTTGACTGGCATCATAACAAGGGCACTGCATGAGATTTCCACTACTTAGCTTGTGTCCCAAATGAATGGAGAATAACAGAGATATGCAAAGATGAAATCATTCAGAGGAAATAAAGCACCTTGTAAAATTTACAAAATGCTCTCAGATTTGAGTACTAACACAGAAAGCCCAAGAAAAATGAAATTCTCACAGAGTAAGATTTCATAATTAAAGTTTTTTTTTATTTCTTCACTTTTTCTTTAATACAAAGCTTTGGCATCAGCAAATTTTATGAAAAAATAGAATGTACTAAATAATTGCTTGTGCTGCATGATCGATAAATGATGCATAAAAATAGGTGTCTCTCTCCAAGGCAATCGGCCGGAAAGCGTTTCTTCAATAGCATTCTGCTCTGCAGGGCAGAAAAAAAAGGGACAAAATATTTATGTTAAAGTTAATACTGCTAATACTAAAAAAAAAAAAAAATCCTGTAAAAGTAAGTTAGTGGAAAATGACAAATTATACAAAGCCAGAGCATTAAGAGATGTCTGTATTTGTCACATCATTCCTACAGGACAGTCAAAGGTCTGAGCACTTCTAAGGTTTTAAGGACACTCCATCTGCTAGTGAAAACTTTCTTTAAGTGGTGCTATCCAACATTTGGGCTTTTTGGGCTTAAACCCACACTAAGACAATAATTTCTGACTGTTCCCTAGGAAGCAAGGCAAATCGTGCTGCTTCTGCTCCTTTCAAACACTGCCTAAAACTTTTTATACTGGTGCTGTAAAGGGTATTTTGAGACCAAGAGAAAGCAGCTGGTTCCTTATTTTATCACTTAGGCAGCGTTTACTTTTATCACAACTATTTAAAAATGCATGTGTATGTATTTATACAAACACACAGCTAAGTATGTATTTACTCACAGCCCCAGAACTAATGCTTTAAATAACAATGTTTAAGCTGTGGGAAGGACACAGTAAAGAAAAGGTACAGGATACGTTTTTAGGTGAGCTTTAAAGCAGAATTTCCGGTCTTTTACTTGCATCAGCATATTACATGGCCTCATTCTTGCTACTGTTGTTTTTCAATAAGAAAACTCCCTCAGATTCCTCTTGAAACACTACCATAAGAAAGGCAGGGCATGCCAGCATTGCTTTTTACATGGAGAGCAGCATAAAAAGCAGTTATGCTGTTTAATAGAAAAAGCAATGAGAAGGAGCTGCCATATATCTGGCATGATATTCAGCACAGGAAATTCTTTGTCTGGCACTGGGAAGGTGTCAGTAAAACAACAAATCTTAGCATTAGTGTCTTTTTAAAGAGTCTAAAATGAGTAATCGAACCCAGCAGCACTTGTGGAGGCTGCTCAGATCCCAAAGGATTCAGATGAAGAGCTGCTGAGGTTAAAGGCCACAGCCAAGAACCTCAGTTACACAAATAAGTGATTTTTGAAGCTCTGGTTGCTGGGTTGTGAGTTTTCTCAAGTCTGTCTCAAGTACACACTTGATGTGCTTGCATTTCAATTCCTATCACTGAGAACAGGAGCTCTCCTTGTATCAGCACACTCTTTGTTTGTACTGAGGGAACATCACTGTGAAAACACTTTGCTGGAGGCCCCAGGTCCCTGCCAATGTGCAGCAGCTTGTCCTTGCAGTAAAAACAGTCCCAGATCCCACTGAGCAACAAAAAGAAGAGTTGCAAGGAAAGGCAGAAATGCAGCTGCTATCAGTGCCCACATCTGGATGAGACTTCACAGGCTCCAGCTCCTCCTCCTTCCCAAGGATGTGCAAGTGCCCAGCAATGCAGACATTCCTGTTCTGCAGCTCATTTTGCCCCATGCTTTCCCAAGCTACTTTTCCAGGCAGATTAAAAATTAACTATGTTCAGCTGCAGCTCTGTCACCAGGCTGCAGATTGATGGCTGCAACTTCAAGATTTTGACAAATGGAAAAAAAAATCAGTAGACTTGATAGGGCTTTTAGAAGTTATAAAGTTTTCTTCATGAAGCCCTTTTGGAATCAGCATATGAAAAGTGGAGGAAGATTTGCAAATTAGTGGTAATCAAAAATCCCTGATGATCAATACTATGGACCCTCCTGAAGAGTATTAGCTTAAGATTGCCTAAAATTTTGCCCTGGAGACTCTTCAATGCCTAAAATTTTACACTGGAGACTATTAGACATGTTTCCATCTTATTGAGGACATCTTCTACTTTCCAAGTAGAAAAAGAAAAAAAAAATCCAATCCCCTTATCTCAAAGAAAAAAAACCCATAAGAAAATGTTTATAAAGCTGCATTTCCCAGCTGCATTTCTTTGGATCTCACCCCACTTCTGGTAGAGAGATCAGCACTTTAATGGAAACTCAGCTGTGTCAAGATGTTCAGAGACAAATATTGACACTTGGCCTTCCCAAATAAAAAATTAAATTAAAATTAAACATATATCCTGAGCCCAGATATTCTGTACAGCTACATGAAAATAATTAGATGTACCTAGTTAATAGATCTGCAAAACAGATTTATACTTGGCTACACACAGAATTATAAAAAAAAAGACTGAGAGTCATCTGCTAGGGTAATTTCTTGTCCAGCCTGCCTGAAGGGAAGCTGGGGGTTTCCACATAGGTTAGGAAAGCATGGAAGCAACCATCCCTTCATTTAAGAAAGCAGTCATTGCTTTCATCTCTTCCTCACCTAAGAGGAAAAAGGTAGATTTTCATTTAAACACCTTTTTTTGCCCCTTAGCTGAAAATGTGCAAACTAGAAATACAGGATTTTTAATTTTTTTAATATGGAATTTGACTAAAAAAGTGAGGTGAAAACTGTAAATGGCAACTGCTGGTAGTAAGTTTTGGCTCTGGCAGGTGAATTTTGAACATAGGGATTTAATGTCAAAAATCTACTGTTTACCTAGAACATGGATCAAAAAGTGACCATAAATATTCTGTTTTCCCCTTTTCATGTCTCCACTTAGCAAAGAGATTTCCTCACACAACCCAGCTTAATATAAATCAAGAGGGACTTTACATGTTACCTTGAAACCTGCTGTTAACAGAGACACTTGTGTTTGAGAAAAGCAGGAAATGAATTTGATTCCTTGAAAACTACATATTCCCCCTTCTGCTGGTATTTATTCCCAATGTTGTCCATGACACACACCCACCAGAAACGCACAGAAACATCTGAGTATTTACTTACTCATTAGCATTCAAGCTAGCTGTGGCTTTGATGATCATGTAGCAGAGTGTAAGGGCACTGAGGAGGCCAAAACTGGCAATAATAAACCATTCTTCTGTTGACAAAGGAAAGGGAGGAAATCACTCGTGGGAGAAAGCGATGCCAATATTTCCCTCAAACACCACTGGCGGAAGGCAAGAGGCTTCTAAGCCATGACTGGCCCCAGGAGGTGAAGCAGAAGGAGGTTAAGCCACAGAGTTACTGACGGGAGAAGGCTAGCAAAGAAGAAGTGGAGAGAGGTGCAGAAAGAAAGCATGGCACAAACAGTATTTCCTGGCTGAGCCCAAGGGTTAGTGATAAAGAAGTTACTTAACAATGTAAAGTGAAATGCAGGATCAAGGGAAAATGTAATGAAAACTCTGTCCACCCCCAAGTCAGAAAGACGACTGCCAGGTTGGGTTAGGTTTGGTGAGATGCAGCTCTTTCATACAAGCACAGCCAAAGTAGTGTCACACTTCAACTGTGTCTTTGCCCCCTCCCTCCTGAATTTATGTTATAGTGTTATTTAAAACTCAACAAAAATCAGGATCGATTGCTCAACGGTAAAACATAACTACAGTTTTCTACTTAATAGACAGGTATACCCATGGAAAAATAATTTCAATACTAGGGTAGACACATAAACATATTAAACAAAAAGTCTATTCAAGAATGTTCACTATTCAAAATTCTCCCCAGGATCAACCTGGCATACAGTAACAGTTGAGAATACAAACACTGCTGTTGAACAGCTTTTGGTTGAACTCTCATGCATCAAGGAATGCATGTGTCATCCATGAAATACAAACATTTCAAGAGCCCTTTCTAAAGCTTTACTTTATAAACATTGTCAGAATGAACTGTTGGTGGTTATTTCTTGTTTTACCCTGGCATCCCATCTGTGCACAAGCAGCACTACAGCTGGGAACAGACAGTAAAAAACACCTTCTGAACAGGCAATTAGTAAAAAGTGAAAACTACATTTTTTCCACCCCTGACAAGGAAGCAGCACAGCAACGGATCTGTTCTTCTTCAACACAACTGAGTGCAATGTGAACCAGAGGCTGAACACTGGATGGCAAAGTGACTTGCTGGCTTTGTGGAGAATCCAGATTCTGTATGTGGATTCTCCCATCTCAGATCAGGACATTTCTAGATATGGACTACGTTTTTTATGATGTGAGGTTTTTTTGGTTTTTTTTAATGAGACATTTACTTTGCTACAGTATCTGAAGAAACACTCTTATGAACTGCATTGGTTTCACTGCCCTGTATACATGTATCAGTGGCAACCAGTGTCACTAAGTTCAAAATCTACATCACAGATGCACATAAACAAAATACAAGCAGAAAATTAGACTATTGTACTGCACGGATTCTGTTTTTCAATTCAGCCAGAAAAACGGAACAGACAGTAAAAAACACCTTCTGAACAGGCAATTAGTAAAAAGTGAAAACTACATTTTTCCCACCCCTGACAAGGAAGCAGCACAGCAATGGATCTGTTCTTCTTCAACACAACTGAGTGCAATGTGAACCAGAGGCTGAACACTGGATGGCAAAGTGACTTGCTGGCTTTGTGGAGAATCCAGATTCTGTATGTGGATTCTCCCATCTCAGATCAGGACATTTCTAGATATGGACTACGTTTTTTATGATGTGAGGTTTTTTTGGTTTTTTTTAATGAGACATTTACTTTGCTACAGTATCTGAAGAAACACTCTTATGAACTGCATTGGTTTCACTGCCCTGTATACATTTATCAGTGGCAACCAGTGTCACTAAGTTCAAAATCTACATCACAGATGCACATAAACAAAATACAAGCAGAAAATTAGACTATTGTACTGCATGGATTCTATTTTTCAATTCAGCCAGAAAAACCATTCATGCATCAAGTTGAGACTGTACAGCATATGGAAAACTGATGCAATTCCACACAATCTGTGTGGAATTTATTATAGTGCTATTGTATATTAAAAACCCTAGGTAAATTCCAGTAAGTGGAAATTTTCCATGCTACTTTTATGGTTAAGAGCTTTCAAGCAGTGCAGGAACAGTTTTCTGATGTTATAAAACACTTGGACAATACTCAAATGTTGGCACATCAAATGCTTCTTTAAGTCACAAATTTTGTAAGAAAAAACACCTGCTAAGCAACGTCAGAATTCCAGTAGCAATGTTCTCAGGAGAAAAAATGTCTGCAGAAATAGCTATCAGCTAAAATATTTATATCTGTATAAATGATTGCATGTAAAGTATTCTGAAGAGATAAATAACAGTTTTGGCAATCCAGCTTCTTGGGCTGGTCACCGAATTCAGGAAGGTTATTTTGGTGCCATTTCAGTTCATCCAGGGTTCTCTGTATGCGGATCTAAATGGATCTACCATTAATAATGGAAGTGTTGGCACTGTCATCCCTAGTGCTATTGGTTCCAATAAGGAGCATATGCCTCTTGCAGAGACACTGAGGTCACCTTTGTCCCTGCAGGGACATCCATCACCAGGGCCCTGCAGCACAGAGGGACACACACACACATCCCACGGAAGCCGTAGACGGTACCGGGAGCCGAAGGACACTTACTTGTCACTGCGATGTTGATCTCTCCTGACCTCGGTGTCAGCTCCCCGTCCTGTGGCAGCTGTGACATGCCCGAGGTGCGCAGGGGCTCCAGGCTGAGGGAGCTGTCGGTGCCGAAGTCGCCGAGCGCCGAGCGCCTGCTCGCCGGCTGCCCCCGCGTCAGCCTCTCCATGTCAAAGGCGACGTTATCCGTGCACGGCACGTTGGGCTGTGAAAAACACAGCTCCACGTTACCGGGGGGAATGTTCTGCATGCAGCACTCCCACACACTGAATGGAACCATACACACACACTTTGTTCAGCTGCTGCGGCTGTCCCGAGGTCACACAGGTGAGAAACACATGAGTGAACCTCCTCTGCCTCTTGAAGAGGAGAAGGAAGAAGCAGAAAAAAGGATTGAGATACAAGGAAGGGACTCAAATACACCTGTATCATAGCCTATGCCTGGATGGTTTACCACAATCATGATAAACTCTGAATTCTGTATCCTCTTCTAAAAACCCAGGGATGTTATTAACTGCAAAAACAGGTCATCCACAAAATATCTGCTACTATTCCTTAGGAAATGTGCAAATTTGCTACTGACATGGCTAAAAATGGAGGCCTAATTATTCTTACTGTCTTGAATCAAAAGCCACTTTAGACAGTCTCTCCATATGTTCTTCTCTTACTTTGAAAAGAGCATCACTCCCACTTTGTAATTTTTTCCTCATACAGGAAAGATTAAAAAATCTGCTTTGAGGTTTCACTGCTGTCCCTTTGTGAACTGGTCAATGAAAGCAGTCCTTGGGGATCCCATAAGACATGAGCTGCTTGAGGAAAACTCACTGGCCTTGGCTAGAGCAGGGCTTTTAATGTGCAAATTTAAGACTGCCTACAGGAAACCAAAAGAACAAGAGATTCAGAGAGTAAATTTAACAAGAAGAATTGAAAGGACTGGAGAAAAAGGAAGATTACAGAGAATCTAACATACTTCCAGTAGATACTTGCCATAAATGCAAATAAAACAATATATTCTCAACTATCAACCATGGAAAGAAGGAAAACCAACAAATCAGCACCAAAGAAATTTGTAAAAACCCCCTAATATTTTCTGAGTAAGGGTACTGGAACACTCTTCCCCTCTCTCCCCTACAATTATTCTTTCTATTTTGGGTCTCAGACATGGGAGGAAGAGGAAGAGTTCACAACCAAGCAACTTACCACAATTCCCAGTGCCTTCAGAATGTTCAGTTTACACATTGGACATGTACAGTGCTCACTGAGCCATGGATCCACACAGACTTTGTGGAACACGTGCCTAGAAGAACAGAGAAAGGACATACATCATTTGCAAACAATTCTATTTAATACAATGAAAACTACTTAAACTTTTGGATAGTTGCCTTTTTTTTTCTTATTTTAATTCTTAGAATTGCCAGTATTCTGTGCTAATTGCAGTAATTAAAAAAATAAATTAAAAATATTGCTTGTTGTTGTCTCACTTTACTAATAGTTCAGTTAGGAGGAAATACTTAATTTTTGTTCTCCCTTCACCCCTCTCCCCCTTTTATTGTGCATATGAGTAGTGGATGTAAGGCAGAAGAACCAAGGTAATACCACTTCCACCATAACCTTGTCTACAGTCCTGTCTCAGTTTTGATGCAGAATCTTGAGCATAAACTTGGTAGGAAGAGCACAGACCCATCAGCTGTCAATTTTGTTCACAAGTCAGTGGAACCAACCCAAACACACTCCTGTTTGACTTTGAAAAGGCTTTTATAATTATCACATTGAAACAGAAAGAAGGTTTTCCCTGCCATCCGTTATTTCTTGGTATCGAGAAGGAAAACATGTCCATCATCACACATTTGTCATAAAAGGAAAGGCAAACTGGGCTTTCAGAGATGGAAAGGCAAATTGGGCTGCTACTTGCAAAGCAGAGAACTCTGCAATAGGCAACAGTCTGAATTGCCTCCTACATTGCATTCAAAATCTTTCAAAATTCAAAAGTCACATACATGGACATAAATGTAAATGCTGGGATTGATATAAACCGGTATAACAAGGAAGGACTATGCAGAGAGCAAAACAAGGTGTATAAATTAAAGGAAGTAAAGGAAATGCCCTCTTAGCTTTTCAAAAGGCAAAGAACTTTTAGAGCATATTCATGGTAGGAATGGGTATCACAGGACTGTCTATCCAACATAGCTTTAGCAAATGCTCATAATAACCCAGTCTGAGTAACTCCTATGTTAATTCCTGTGATAAGAGCTTTGATCCTTCATTTCCAGTGGTGCTGCCTGCAGAGCAAGGAGCCAGTAAGAGCAGGCACACCCAAACACGACAGACTGGTGATCATGACAATGATCAGCAATTACAAGGGCTGCTTAGTCAGCGAAGAGCTGTGCTCTGGAGCCAGCAGGAAAAGGGGCAGGGGCAGAACTAGCAGGTCTTGGCATCTATTTGATGCATTAGCAGGGTCTGGAAGAGGTGGCCATGCGTGCCCCAAGGCAGCACAAAGCTGAGATATTCTCTCTGTCCCCTCCTTGCTCGGGTTACACTTGTGCTCTGTGCCTGAGAAAGCTCATCATGGAATCTGGGAGTTCTTTGCTCCCTATCCCTTGGGATTTTAAAACCAGAGACCAAATAAGGCATGTTACCAGACAATTCTCTCTTAAACCTCTGGAAAGCAACTTGAAAGGCCTTCTGAAACTGTTAAACATGGCAAAAGAGAGTATATAATTATATAACAGTCTATGTCTACTCAGGCTGATGGAGGGACTAAAGAATATCAACATAATGAAGTTCTAAGCAGCTACAGCTGTATGTCCTACCTGTACTAACTAAAGATGCAGAATTAGGGTGTAAAATAGTTAACAGAAGATGGACAGGCAGCAAAATAATTTTGCTTATCTCTATCCCAGATAATGCAGGAATAGAAACTTAAAAGGACCTCAGTTAGCCACTTTGCTGGCCTGTGTCCTCTAGCAAGCTGGCAATCACAAAAAACAGGGTATGTACAGGGCCTTCTATTTAAATCATCACCCAAAATAGACTCACTTCTATTATTATTAAGTCTTGATGCATTCCCTTTATTACTCACAAAACTACAGGAAACAATGTTTAGAAACTCTGGGTGATACATAATGGTTTGAAATACTCTGAAACATACAGAAATACTATTTTTCTAATTAGGTAAGTTATTAATTTTATTTGCTTAGGTTTGAAGTCACTGGAGTCTGTTTTTTAAAGTAGAACAAACCTGAAAATCTAGTATTTTGGGCAAGAGCAGACATCAAGACTCCACAGAAGTATGAAAACAGCTTTATTACATCATTATTGGCTAATCAGTGCTGTAGAAGCACTCAGATCAAGTGAAGCAGGCGACTGATATAGATGCCAACATGTATCCGCTAAATATTATGAGTTATTTTAAAAAGTCATTAGCACTTTGATATATTTATATACACAGCACAATTGTTTTTATGACCTCCTAATTCTTTGTTTTTAGTTCCTAAATCTTCAAGGATGTTTATTAATGTGTTTCAAAGAAGTGCAGTTCTCCAAAGGTTATTGATTTAGAAAGCATGGCTCTGCCTACTACTTACACAGTTTCTCTACCTCTTAAAAAGTTTGCTGATAGCATCACTGTGGCTCAGCCTCTGTCTGGATTTCTCTGTTTGCAAGAGGTAAAAAGCAGCAATACAGCAATGATGACAGCAAACAAGAATTCTTTCAAAACCTCACCCTGACAAAGTAAGCCCTTGCAATTTCTGCTCTCATAAACCTCCTCCATCTTCCCACTTCTGTAATTGGTATTCCAAGACCATAAAGGTGACGAGTTCCCAGCGAGCTGCCCTTGGTCACGACAGCTGCTGACGTTGCCCAGGAGCACAGGGGGAGTCAGGTGTGACACAGCCTGGGGCTGGGGGAGCAGGGCTGGCAGCACTGAGGAGTCTCCCATGCGGGCACAGCTCCAGGCAGGTGACCTGCAGGTATTTTTCCACTCTGTCAGCACACCCAATCCAGCTGCCCTCCAGCTGGTGATAAACACCATAACACCGACTCCTGTACAGCACGGCTTCTTTGCAGCATTTCACAGGGGAGACAGTGACTTAGGAATCTCTTTTGGTGGTGTAAGACCTCCAAATCCACACATCACAAAAGGAGAAGGGTTGAATGATTTACGAGTGCTGTTTCCCTAGAGCTCACTACCCTTCCCTGCTCTCAGTGCAGCATCCCACAAAGGGACCTTTGCTGCTGCAAAGCAGGTTCTCTGGCTACTGCTCTTCTGGCCCTGGGGTCCAAGGACTGCAGAAAGCAGAAAGGATGCCATCAAGACTCTAGGTTAATTTGGTTTTAAAAAGGCAGCTATTTTAAAAAGGCAGCAGCACATAATCAAACATGAAAATCTGAAAAGCCAGTTTAGTCACTCTTGTCACTTTCTTCCTTGACCAGGACAGGAATTAAAACTTTGGCTCAAAAGCCATTTATTTTATAGCATAGTACAGTATAGTATAGTATAGTATTTGCTACTCTTTTAATTATTTTCCTACCTTCTTAATTAATTCCTTCCTTCGCCATCTTTCTGCCCTTTCCAATGTCATCTTGTTTTCTTCTCTAACCTGTCACTTTGCTCTCCTCTTCCCTTATCTCTCACTAATCCTTCACACTACCCACTCTGATCACTTTTCACCTAGTGCCTGTTCAGCCCCTAGATGTAACAGTGATGGTAGAATAAAGTTATTTGAATGAGGTTTGTCTTTTGCTAGGATCCCTCTGACATTTGCTTCCCATATTCACTTTTCACTTACATAATGACATTCACAAAATACACATTCCTCAAGCTTGGAAGCCTAAAACAGATGGCTGCTTGTCCCTCTGTGCACTAAAGCTATGTCTCTAGGCTGCTGGTACTGAACACCTCTCTCTGAAGCACAAAATGAACTACTGCAAACAATGCAGTTGAACTTCTACCATTTCATTTTAGTTTATTTTTAAATTTGCCACAATCTCCTGCATGCCAGTGACTACAGAATTTTAGGTGCAACTTGCTCAGCAGCTGGTAGATTTTGCCTGCTGTGCATCTGCCCAGACAAGATTCCTCTGCTGAAGCACAGTGTGACAGACTATACTTAACTGCAGAGAACAACTGTGCTACTAAAGGGAAAGGCTACTTTTAAATTGATGAAAGCAGCAAAGATGTCACATGTCAGTGATTCCTACTGTCTAATGATTACAACAGGCACAGTGAGAACTTCTAGTCTTTTATTTGCTTCTTCTCGGTCAAGTAATTTTCTCCATGGTTTCCTTGCAATTTATTTTCTCATCTGGCTTAGAAAGCCTCTTGTAGGCTTTGTTTTATTGTCTGTGTGCTGTTTTCTTTTTTTTTTTTCTTTTAACTAACACTGCATGCTGCACTAAAATGGAAGGTTGAAATATGAGGAAGCAGAAAGGACTTAAACCTCCATAAAACAAAATTTGGGGAGAAGCATCTCAGGTCCTGAAGACTGAAAAATCTCACATGGAATCTGAAATTTATTGGGCCCATCTTTGAAGGTACTAGTTAGCTTTTCATCTACAAATATAAAAATGTCTTGTGGAAAGCATCCATCTCACTGTGTCTAGCCTAGATGGTTTTGCACTTTACTTAAAAGCTGGGCTGCAGCAAATGAAAAGTGAGATGTAAAGAAGAAGTAGAAAGCGAACATAAAAGTCGTCATACAGCCTTTGGCAGCAATGTAATCTGAGCCTTTGCTGACCTTACATTCTTGTGAAAAACAGAACAGAAAATGATCTACACAAGAGCCTTGATCTCTCCTTTACATGGGAAACTGCACTGGGGCCGGTTGTGCTGAGGTGGCAGCCAGGTGCACCTGCATGCAGCTCCCTGAACAGCTCTAAGCACCCCTGAGAGCCCAGAGCCTCCTGTCTGCAGGACTGCAGCTCAACAAAGTGTCTGAAGAAAAAGGACTTTTAATTACAAAAAAAAAAAAAAAAAGAAAATAAAAGAAAAAAATAAATCAATGATCACCTTGTTCAAATGGTCTGTATTGTATCTGTGGGTATCAGCAACATATCCACTGATTGCCAAGGGGCAGCTGTTTAACTAAGGAAGTTGGCTTTTAATCCCAACTCTGCCTTGTGCTCATTGGAACAGCTGGTTTCCTATCAGGGAAGAGTCATTCTCTCTTCACTGGCAAGGACCTCCTCCTGCCTTTTGTTCAGTACCAAGAGAAAGGCACAGAAGAGTGGGATTTGTGACCTTTCATTCCATGTCCTTGAGCCTCACAGTAGAACTACACAAGAGAAGCTTTCTTAAGAGGCAGTTTACAAAACAACCATCTCAGAGGTCTAAAACTGGTGGGCAGTTTCCAGAAGTTCCTCCTCTAATTTCTGAATAACCTTCTGCATGACATATCAAAATAATAGGGCTTAATTCACCTATACAAGCTTCACTTGAGATTGCAATAAATGATATAACTCTGAAATATTTACTTTACACTTGGGAGTACATTTTTCAGGGCAAGTGGACATCAACTTTGAGTAAAAATGACTGAATTGTAAAAAAGAAATGCACATACATCCACATGACAAAAGGCTCCCATATCTTTCCAATCTAAGCTCTTCCATTCCTAAATATTTTAATTAGAGTTTCTAAATAAACAGTTATAGGGCATTTTAGCTAAACAACACTGAGAATCTAAAACAGGTCATTGTTTCCTGCTGTCCAAGAGGTAAGGAACACAGAGAACAGTAAACTGAATTAGATTTTTGGCTACAGAAGTATAATGCACACATATTTTGATCAGCAAGATAGAAAATAATACTGTTTTCCTTTTATGATTATGGAAATACCCTGCACATTAGAAGATATTCAAGCTATTCAGAACAGCCTGCAGGAGGATTTAGAAGACAAATAATGAGCTCTTATGTGCTGCTGCTGCCTGACTGGAGACTGATTCCAACACATGACTTTGCTGCTTCTAGAGTATCATGCAGAACCATTTATGTACCAAGCACAAGCCAAGTTACTGGATCTTGCTGCATATATACAACCTAATTTACATGTGGGTTTTGTGCCTGAAGATGAGGAGAATGCTTTGCATTTCAGAACACAAGGGAAAGATGTCCTTGGTAATGCTTAATGCTACCAGAATGTATGATTCATCAAAATCAACCACCAGGTGGAAAAGTATTTAAAAGCATCTCTCAAAGAGAAAATGTCCCAAAACAACTCAAGAATGGAATTGGAATGGAAGCAAACTAAAAACCTGTAAATGTCAACACAATGCTATAAAAGGGGAGGAAGTTGTTACATTTTAAGCAGTAATGCAGAATCACCAGCAAGTACAAATCTTCAGACACAAGCCAAGATCACACTGCATTAAAAGCACCAAAGACAGATGACAGCACAGTGTCTGACTAATGTCAGGAGGTATGAAGGTTGCAAAGACTGCATTTCCACTCCCTACAGTTTCAAAAACCAGCAGCCAGTTGTTGCACATCTACAGTGCAGAATGCTGCAGCTGTACCTAGCTCATTATACTGAAGTTTTTTGAGTCTGCCCATCACTTGGTTCTTAAACCTGCACCCCTCCACCTCAATGCAATCTCAATAGCTCCATTGCCAATATCTTTAATATAATTATGTTTAATCTCCATTGTCCTAAGTGCCAGCACCCACCTTCACACCTTCTGGCACCACAGTCTAAAATAAAGTGTCTGTAATTAGGACTGGAAACATCCAACAAACCCATTTGTGAATTACAATGCACCTAACACATGAAATGAAGCAAAAGAGAACAGCTTCCAAACAAAGCAACTTTATTTTCTTACTTGCATGGCAAAATGCGAACAACATCATTCTGCTTGTAACTCTCAATGCAGACAGCACAATGATCAAAGTCTGGGTCTGTTTCCTAAAATGAATAGAATGAGAATTCAAGTCAAGAGCTGAGGCTACGACAAATGTCAAAGTAGTTGTGACTAGTACACGAACTGCACTGTGCCAAGTGGCTGTTACCAAACCACAAACCCAATGACTGGATTATTATATTCCAACATGACTTAAGCAAGAAAAGCATCTCATACATGCAAAACTGCCCTTTCTTGGAGCTGGTAAATCATCATTTGATACATAAGCTAAGGCCTAAGATGATTCTAATGCTCAGTGGAATCATTATAAAATATAGTGGAGACTTTCCTAGATTTCCTTTTTTTTCCCATCCAATTTAGAACTAACATTTCTATTTTATCCAGGGTTTTTTTGTTTGTTTTGGCGGAATAAAAATTGTGGGGCACATTTTTACAGTCACAATGAGCACATTTTACGTAGTGCAGACTACTCCCATATTTATGTCTGCTGCTTACTTGCAGAATTATCATCATTCTTATGAAGACATGAATATCACTGATTGACCAGCTCCTCTCTTTTCTATTTTCCAGAAGTTATGATTTTTTTAAATTATATTTTAAAATATGATATTTTAAGATATCAAATGAAAAAGGGGGGACTTCCTTTGTATATAGATATGGCATCAACAATACATATTTAAAATGTTTGGGCCTGTGACACATACAGGCCGTGCCTTCTCAACTTCATTATTCTTTTTGAAGCCAACCAGCTACAAGTCAGACACCAAGACAGGGAGCAGAGCAAGGCCACAGCCACTCCTGGTCAGCACCAGCCAGGGCTGCACACAGAGAATCCTGATGGCTCCTCTGAGGAAGAAAAGGTTTTTCCCACTCTGTTCACCTGCATGTGCACCTCATGCTGTCTGTACTGCAAGCTGCACAGCACTTGCCACTTCTGAATTTATGCTGTCAAGACAACAGCATTGTTTTACATTGAAAAGTTCCTCTAATTTGTATGTTCTCCCATTACAGAAAATATTTAGTGCAGTGGGCTGTTTTGAAATAGAACTACTAGGGAGGGAGGAAGAACAGAAAGACATTTGCTCTGCCTTCTCTCTGGAAGCAATTTTTCCTATCACTTCCTAATCTCCCACTGCTGATAGTGTTGAAAAGAAAGAAAAAAGGAATCACAATAAAAAGGCCCTAGGAAACAATATTTTAAAAATCAAATCATAGCCAGAATTCCCCTGCCTTTTGAAAATTAAAGCTAAAAATTGAGCAAGATTAAATGACTATATTTTCCTTTCAGAATCAAAAATAAAGTAATACTGCTCTCAAAAATGGAAAAAGGACATAACACACCATATATTTCAGCTTTTATACTAGCAAGAAATATTCTTGGAGTAACTTTGACTGAAATACCTCTTTACGTTTCCCCTTAATTTACTTAATAGTTGTATTTTACTTAAGAGATTATCTTCAATTACCTGTCTTTTAAATTCATTTTTCCTTTACAGAACTTACATATTATAAAGTTCTAAGCTTTAGACTTCTACATAAACAATGCCAGTCCCATCTACTCATGCCAGGACACCCTCCCAGTCAGCCAGCACACAAAACCACCCTCAGTCACAGCTGCCAGATGGAGTGCAAATAGTATTTAAGCAGGAAAACCTTCTTTGAAATACACAGCACACATCAATACCACAGTTACACAAAATATTGTGCCACAGGACAAAGCAAGCCTCCAACAAGGAAGGCAAAGTCATAAATCAGAAACACAAACAAAAAAATTGAGATTGTTTCCACAGACAAAAAAATTAAACATGATGCCCAAGTTTATAATGTTGAAATCTTATTATTATACCTTATCACCCTTCTTTACTGTCCTGGTTGTCAATTTACCAATGGCTTTCTTGGCAGCATCTCCAAGACGACGCTAATAAAGTGACAAAGAAGAGAACACAAATTAACCCTGATAAACAAGCTTCATTAGTGTCCTTTACAATGACTTATTTGGACTCAATAATACCACTGCAATACACACTATGGCAGCAGGCCAACACATAAGACAAAATGCAAACACAGCAAAGCACAGAGATTTGTTGAGAAGGAAAAACAGCCAACAGTTGAATCCTCAAATGCTCTCCACAAGCATGGGCATAAAACTCACGGACTGTACAGAAGTCCACAGAAGTGAATCAACACTGATGTGCAAACCTAATCAAACCCAGGTTGCAGAACAAAAGCTGAAGCAATGTTCCCTCCCAATGATTTCCATTATATTCTGTTCATACTGGTTTTTATTCAGTGTGCTGTAATATGCTGCATGTTCTCTTAAGCTTGAATTATTTTTATATTTCCACTCTGAGCAGGCTGATCTTACTCTGAGATGCAAATGATCCTCCCAGTGTAACCTAGTTTCTCTCCTGCTATTACCCAAAACCACCAGGATCTCAGAAGAAAATGATGGGTCATGAAATCTAAATAAGCCAATACAGACTTAAATAAAGCTGAAATTAATATTGGTTTGAAGGTTTCTCTCCTGCTATTACCCAAAACCACCAGGATCTCAGAAGAAAATGATGGGTCATGAAATCTAAATAAGCCAATATAGACTTAAATAACCTGAAATTAATATTGGTTTGAAAATAATCTCAATGTTAATGCAGAGGCCAAATTATTTGCTGTTTATGCTGCTTTATGACCACCACAGCCGGATGGAAGGAGCCTTTTCTGTCATCCAAGTGTTGATTCCTATTGAAATGCCCAGCTCCCAGCTAATAAAAAACAGCTGTTTGTCACTGTTTTCCCACTGGGGTCCCAGAGGTGGGCACTGAATGAAACAAATCATCCATCATCTTCCTTCAGGGACATGCGACATCAGACTTGGTTTACAACTGACTTAAAACCAGAAATGATGTATTTTCTCTTTCCCCTCCTAACTGTACTAAGTAGTCTTCCCTTGAAAGAGATAGGCTGCTTCTCAGAATGCAGCTCTCAAAACCTCTCCTTCAGCCTGCAATGAATGTGTGGACGTTTGTGCCCACCTTCTATAAAAAACTGAAACCTAAATTCTTCATAAGGTGTACTCCCTGTATCACACATTTCCCCACATGCAAACTGCACTGAAAGTTGCTTTTATTTGAGAAACACAACGACCTCAGAAGTCTGTATCACAACTGACTGTATCACTTATTCTAGAATTATGTAAGCACTTTTCTTCCTTGTGATTTTCACAGAACAGCAACTCTTATTTTATATTTTTTAGAACAAGAATTGGAAAAAAATCAGATACACAGTCCCAGTTACTGAAATATGTCCATGTAGGAAGCACAGCACTAGAAGCAGAGCTGGGATGGGAAATTATATGCTTGCTAAAGTCAAAAATCTCACCCTAACTTCAATATGCAAGAATTTGGTCAATTTAAGCTGATCTAAATTACATGCCCCAGAACAAGCACATTGGCCTGAGTACTTAATGACACAGAACACACTGGGCACACTGCTGGAGTAGATAACCATTGCATAACCAAAAGCATGATTACTAAGAGAGGAACGAGGCTGAAATGGCATTTAACTTAAATGCTCAACTCCAACAGCTAAGTAAATGTGGGTAGTATCTGTATTTCGTTCTACTGCATGTGACTGTATATGCACTACAAGAAATTTTAAAGATTATTTTCCCATTGAAAGCGTAATATTTCAGCAGAACTCTTCCAGCATATTGAAGTTCTTTTACGTAAATAGATTTGCTAAATAATAACTTCCATCTCCTCTGTTTAAGAGGTCAAGCTCTTCCATTTTTTAATTTTAACAAATACTCTTTCATGTTAACACTGGAAATGCTCAGGATTCGCTGTTTTGCTAAGTTAGGGCACAAGCACACAGCATATGCTTGCTTTTAAAACCCACAACTGTCTGGATGGAAAAGGTCACTTCCACGTGCAAGAGAGTTTCACACCTCTGGTGGAAGCGTGCAAGAATAACGATGTGAAATACCAATATCTACTTGTGTCATCTACAAAACACAGCAAGTTTTTGATGGATTTGATTTAAAAAACAGAAAAACTTGTGCCTTGACATAACTTAAAAATAAGATCATAGCCTAAACCAAGTTATTTCATCACTAACAGTACAGTCTTTGTGAAAGCTCTCAAAGCTCTTTAAAAATAAGCAACAGCTGTCGCCACCTTCTTATTAAAGTTTAATAAGCTCAGCTTTTTAAACCACATAAAATTTTCATCAAGTTTCTCCTGACCTCTGTAAAAATCTAAAGAAAGAAAAAGAGGTCATAAGAGCCCTTTCCCAATGGAGCAACTGTTTTGAAACGTGGACATTTGGAAGGAGCCTAAAGCCATGTAGGGGATAGAGAAGGCACAATTTAGTATTCCACAGACATTCATTAAGTTACAGTTATATTTAAACTTTCACCATCCCAAGGGACCACACTAAGTACCAGCTACAGTGTGGTCATTTAAGAATGACATCCTTAAGAAAATCTACCGGATGCCCATGGGACCTGCAGCATCAGACACTATTTATAGTAACTGAAAAGGAAATCCTGTGCCACAGCTGAGGTTTTGTAAGTTTGGATTTATTTTAGGTCTGATAGAACACCAAAAAACTGGCCCGCAGTCAGCTGCTGTGTATCTGCTGTAATTTGGGGGAAAGGGATGACAGTGACTAGAGGTCAGGAGGTTTCTAAGTTAGCCTTGACAGAAAGGCAGGGCAAAGAGGGCACCGTGGATTTCCTGAGGTTTACTGACCCTTCTCAATAAAAGCCAAGGCACACTATGGAGGGTCATTAAGTCCACACTAGTAAAACATTTACTTCTAAAGTTTATCTGTGTTTGAGTTGACAACTTGATTTAGTCTAGATCTCTGAGTATGGTCATATATAACTCAGTGCTCAAACAAATTAAGAATTGAAGAAGAATGGAAGAAAGGCATATTTGACAAAATTTTGGTTATAATATATGACCAGGAGAATTAGACACTCCTTACCAAGGGTGATCTTAAATAAAATTGAAAGTTAACACAGATCACTAAGCAGCTCTACACTAACATTCATAACAGATTATGGTTTGGGAATACTTTTGTACAATTTCTGAACTACCTTAACTATTACAGAACATATCCTTAAGAGCATGGATAGAATTTGCAATATTTGCTCAGTGTTTCCCTACACTACACAAGTTGATTCACAACTTAACTTTCCTCCTAATTCCCAACATACATCTAGTATGTATTACTCAGCCAACACAGAATCCATCTGACTTTTAGACTTACACAAACCAAAACTCAAGTATTTTGCTTCAGTTTGATTCTTTCCTGTCATGCAATAGGATCTATACCAGTGCTGCTCAGGATGAAAACACTTTGCTGCACAAAAATCCTTTTCTGGCAACATGCTCTGCCTTGGAACAAAGAGATTCTGAACACTAGTTTGATGGGCATTCCTTATTTGTTCTCTGTTGATTATTGTATACTGAAATATTATCTCCATAACTTAAGAGAAAAGAAGACACCCCTTACCTGATTCCTGTCACGTGCACTTGTGTACCTGATCTTCTGGATGAAGTAAAATATTAACCATGCTGAAGAAATGATCATCAAAACAATGAATGATATTGACACAAAGACTAGAGAGCCCCGACTGAAGTTCTTTGGAGGAACACGGGACCCCACTGCTATGGCCATCAGGACAGAGATATTCTTCTCCAAGTAATTCAGGATCTCCTTAACCTTCGATTCTGTAATCATGACAGCAACAATGTCTCCAGTTCCTATAAAAAGGGGAAAAAAGTTTAATTTTTATTTTAAATTAACATGGCATGCTGCTCACAAGATTTTGCAAAGCCATTTGACAACTCGAGGTTTTAATCTAAGCCGTCTATGGCACATGGAACATGCTACTGGGCACTCTACTCATGCCTTGTCCTTCAAACCCAGATTTTCAAATTAGGGCATTAACATTTGCCCTAAACTCTCTGCAGCTCCACACATAGGAACAGATCTCTACTGCTGGTACACAGTACTTCCCACATGGTAATTACTGTGTGCAGTCTGAACAAGCTTTCAAAAGTACATTTGTTCCAGATCTGAAGCCGTGAATACCTAAACAGGCAACTCTCAGAAAAACATTTAGGAGATGAGTGAGAATATTGCTCGAGTGCCCTTAGCATAGGCAGTGCTGTGGATGTTGCTGGGGAGAGTTATGCAAGCTCTCCTGTGTGGTTATGTGGCTGCAAAGTAGAAGAGAATTGAAAAAACTTGGCAGAAGTTTGACTGCTGATTTTATCACCCATACAAAGACACGCTTGATAGCATTGCAAAGAGGCTGTCAGCTTCATCAGCTCCATTTTCAATGTGCAGCCCATCTGTTTTCATAGTGTCTTGCCTCTAGACTATTTCCTGTCCCAAAGGGAAAATTATTGGTACAAGGATAATAGGAAAGCCATAAGCCTTGCTGAAAAAGAACAAAATCACCTATAGAGCAGAGAGAGCACCTATGTTTTAAAGCAAAGACCTCATTAAAAAAAGAGGATCTTGAACACAGGGTAATTCTAAGTTAAAAGAAAGAAAAGTTTTAGAAAAACCAAAGCCAGAATGAAAAAAAACCTTGTGAAGCTTCATTCTTATTCATCCAGACTTATTTGCTTCCAATACTAAAAACCCTTTCAAGACCTATTTTCAAAATGCTTGCAAAATCTGTTCATGTGCTTGTTCCATCTGCTTGCTCCAACTCATATTCCCTCAGAGAGGAACTGTATAAGGCAAATGACTTCAGCACCAAGATTCTGGATTTAGAGTGGATTTAAGCTGCAGAGAACCTAGTGTGACAGTAGAGAATATGAGATCCTATTTTAACACAAGGCATTTGTTCAAAGTCTTTTAATCACAACCTAATTTTTAAGAAGCTACTGTATCCACAAAATGATGTTCAAGAGCCAAAAGAGCAGCACCTTTGAACCCTGGGCACAATAATTAAGGGTGATGGCTACATACTTTTCCAAAATGGGGACTTACAACAGAGTTGTGCGAGAGCCTTAAAAGTTCCCTTGTTACTCTTTGAATTCACCATGCTAAACAGTAACATTAACAGTCACCATCATCAGTTTTCCTATTAAGTTCACTAACGTTGGTGCTGACAGAATGACTCAAAAGAATCAAAACTGATAATCTCAGAAATTAAAATTTTCACAATAATTGAAAAAAAACCCATTCCACAGCCCTCCAACTGCTTTCCTCAAGAAATTTAAACTTTATTTAAAATTGAAATGGCAAAGTCATTCAGGCCTTGTCCTGGTAACATGGGACTGAACAGGAAAAGAAAGTTCAGTGTTTCCTTCTGAATATTTTTGAAACAGTGCCACAGTAATTCAAAAGCTTTGAATAGCAATGAAAACTCAACACAATGTATTTAATCTCTAGTATAGCACAGACTCATACAAGATCAACTTTAACCCAGCTCTCAAGAGACACTTCAGTACCAAGTTTGGTTTCATGCAAAAACAACCAAGATATTTAATAGACAGCAAATCTCAGAGTAAAAGTCCATCACTAGTTTTGTTTTCATGGACATCTGCCCAGATTCCTATTTGTCCAGTTGGGAAGATAGTTCCTGCCCAGACTTGCAGCACAATTTTACAGCACAAGAGATACCCCTCCTGCAAGATCCTGCATTTAGATGCAGCACATGCTCCTGCAACCCCAAATCCCTGCAGCTCAGATAGTGCAAGATCAATCAAGAGCAAATAATTTATATTGCTTGATATTTTCCCCAGACTTCACTTCTGCTCTTCATATCTAGCTCAGATTGGGAAGAAAAGCAGGGAAAGGTACAGGAAGATTGTATTCCCCCGAGCACATGCCCTGCTAAGCTTCCCCAGTAGGAATTTATTTGCACTGAGAAATTATGTTAGTATCAAAATATCAAGCTAAAGCACTCAGTGTAATATCTAACATGATTTATAGTTATCTGCAAGGCAAAGATGACAAAGATCTTCTGATACTAGTCCAGTTCTATCTGAATCTAAAGCTGAAGCCTCTACCTATTCCCTGCTGCCCAGGGAATGTGACAAAGCTGACAATCTGTCACACGTTTTATATAAAGCCCAGCACAATGGGAACCTCTGGCATCACTGCAAAGTGATTTGCATTCCAAATGACTCAACTGGGAACAGCCAAAGTGCTACTGCTGCTTCTGACCCCGCCAGAGCCAAGGAGAACTGCAGAAAAGAAAAATAAATTGTGTCTGTTGAACATACTGAAGCTCAGTGGAAACTGGGACTTGGTTCATCCGTATTTTTGTCAGGGGCATCACCCTAAATAATTTTAGCAAGAACTCCCTGTTTGAGAACAATTGGGGGCAGGAGGAGACAGTGACTCATTTATTTTAAGCACCTTGAAACCTTGTATTTCTGAAACTTTAGCAGAAAAAAATCCTCAGGTGAAGACAGAAAGACTAAGAGTGTTTGTGAAACTCAGAATACGGTCTTACTCCATGATCTTATGAAAAGCAATATTTTCCTCAGCCAAGAACACAGTGTCCAGAGAAAAGAATCTGTATTGCTTACTAAAGCCAATGAACTACACATGGAACCACAGATGACAAGCTAGGACAGACGGTAGGCATAAGATAAATATTGATGTCTGTAAACATAAATCATTTAATTGCTATCATCCAAGCCCAGGCAGCTTTTTCTAGCTTGCAATTTTACCATGTGCATGTTTAATTAGGATAGTTATACAACTCTGTGTATGAAAAGGGATGAAGTTGTGACTAATCATTAAATCAGTATAATGTTACATTGTGAGAGCAGAAGACAGAAGAAATTAAAAGCTTACAAGACAGTAAAAACAGGACTATGGGAAAAACAGCAACATCCAGGAGTTTCCTGTAGACCTCATAAGGAAACTGCTTTGCTCTCTCACTGACCTATTCACATCCCCTAGCAATTCCAAAAGAGCATGCTCAGAAAGTCAATAAAAAGTCATCTCATAGAAATGTTACAAGTATCATCACAAGCAAATATTTGTGGTGTTTTTGTTGTGTTGGGATTTTTTGGTAGGTTTTTTTATCGTCTTTGTTGTTGTTAATTCTTGACTACCAAATGTTTATCTGAAGCTCAAAATATGGCTAACTATGTCCAGGATACCAGGCTGAAGCTGAAGGCAAGCATGGTTCAAAGAGCAGACTTCAGACACCTTCAATCCACTCAACACCCACTGGAGGTTGCAGGCAATGGCAGCCTGGCAAAATGCAGCTGCCAATCAGGGCTGCAAAGCTTCATCCACCTCCTTGCAGATGGGGAGGGCAAACCTCAGATCCCACCTCGAATGTGGAGAGTGTCAGACCACCTGTAAGAGGCACTGAACTACTGTGATTTGATGCGACAAGGTTTGCAGAGAACTGAGAATTAAGTCAGATACTCATAACAAAGGTCAGTGATTTGCTAATGGCTGATATTTTAAGCTAAAGTCCTTGCAATAAGTCTCTGATAGTGGCTGCTGATGCTGCAGACACAGCATGAGGCACACAGACTGCACTAATCTCATGCTTGTGAAAGAATACTGTCCTCTTTAAATAGCAGAGAAAATTTAACTGCAACTGAGTCCTTTCATCACTTCTTTCTGAAAAACCTAAATGTAGCACATTTACCTGAATAATTCTGCTGGTGAAAATTTCAGAGTACTTCCTTAGAAAACACAAATTCTCCATTCTCTGATAAAGGTAAAGATTGGTTCAGACAGTCACTTAAAAGATGGATTCAGAGAGTGAAATGCTACTGCCTTTCTGAGTGCAGCAATAGGATCATCATCATGATAATGTAACTGGAAATAGAACTGCCCATCCTCAAAAGCCAGACTTCCCTATTCTTCTGTTACTTCCCTATTCTCCTATTAAAATCCTGTAGCTGTGTGCTAAGCATTTCTGAATGCATTATATGAGAAATAAAAAGACAGTAAGACCTACTATTCAGTACCCAGGAAAGGGATCAGTCCTATTACTGTGAGTGACAGTTTTCTTGGAATAACATCAACTAACAGAAACCACTCCAACAGAATTTGGGATCCCAGAAAATGACAAAGAAAGCAGGAAAACACTAATGAAAGCTATGGCTGTATATGAAATTTTGATAGACCAATTGTGAGTTCTGTGAAAACACCAGAGGACATTTGAGCTGCATGAGAACAGAGGTGAAAGCAAGGATCTACAAGGGAAGGGATTCAGCCACAGAGGATATAATCCATGGAACCCGTGAGGTACAGGATAAGGGAAAGGCATACTGGCCTGTGTGCAAAGCTGTGCTGCTAGAAAAAGCAGGCTTGGGGAGAACTGTTTTTAAAAAAAAATTCCATGGCACAACAGTGGGGAAACCCACACACTTATCAGGTATCTTGACATTTTTGTCTGATGCAAAAGAAAGAAATTCGTTGTGAAGAATAACTCTTACATTCTAAACAGGTTTATGGGAAAGCAGACACCAAGAGGACGAGCCTTGGCATATCTTCAGAGTCATTAAAACTGGTCTAGCTGCACATATTTTTATTTTGATCTAATCAGAAAGTAAACAAGAGCACATCCAAGCTGTCAACACATGAGCAATCTCAAGAGTAGAATATGTTATTTGAGATGTCCCAAATCAAATACTTCTGGAAACAGAATATTTGACAGCTATTGCATTCTAAACAAGACAAGAATTGAATGTCAAGAATATACATTAATTTTAAAATGAGACTAGTAGCATTTTAAAACATTGTCTTCCTGTTGCCTTAGTAA